CTTTTGGGTTTTCTCTATTTTTTTTAATACTTAAAAGCACCCCTGACACATCCCCAACAAAACAAAAAAAAGAATAATTCAAAGCGGTTCAGTCTTTCATATACCTATATATACATTTTTTTCAAGGTCGTACATACTTTATGTGAGTATGTATATGTACTAAATTTCGTCCAGATCCTCCAAGCAGTTGCAACGTAAAGAAAACACAACATACACACGCGCACGCACACACGCATACACAAACATAAATGAATTTTCACTAAAACATTATATACTTTACGAAAATACATCTATACATATAAATAAAATTGAAGTGTCGGTTTGTAATGTCAAAATAACAGCTTTTTACTAAATGTATATGAAATTATATACGGTACATATAACTCAGGCTATTTGTATTTATTTATTTTATATTATAAGAATTAGAGTTCCGCTCAAAAAAATTAAAACGTACCTAGGAATGCACCCGGGCGAAGCGATGGTAAGACGCTAGTATTTCTCTATTTCTATTTCCGTTTAAACAACATTAAGCCAAAAAAATTAAAACAATACATGACGTAAAAACTCTTTTTATATAGGATTTCCTTATTTTTCTAGGTCTTTCGGAACTGCATACAAAGTAATCACGCAAACGATCGTGATAAAACTACTTAAGCACAATCAAAATGGGCTTGCTGTGACGAATTCAAAATGCCATCATAATTTCTTACACGCACGCTTATGTAATTAGTAGAAACTGTCTGACTCGTCGTCAAAAATCTAATTAGCGTATAAAATAGTTTTGTGCAAGCTTTTATTTAACTTGCTCATTTTTATATCTGCCTGTCTGTGTTTTTAACTAAAAGTTTAAATTTCATTCCACACAATCACCCTACCAATATTAATAAGTTGATTGATGCAGAATTTTAGCATTTCAAATCAGAAGTTCATTATTACTTAAATATATAATTTTTATATCAAGAAAACTTATATAAGGGAAATATCTGCAAAAGTTAGTAGTACTATATTTCATACAACCACATAACAATAATATTTAAAATCTATGCAGAGCTCATTATTTATTATATTCCTGATCCAATGAAACACGGTAAAATTATTCGTATATTTTAACCTGTTACTTCAAATCTAAATAGTGGTAAAATAATTTAAAAAACTTATTTTATTATATTTTATAATATTATAATATTTATTGTATTAACTTACATATCAAAATATAATTTGAGATATAACTAGAATGAACTTAAAAGCAGATGGAAGTCATAATAAAAACTTAACATTTTGACTTATGATAAACCTTTGACCGCTTGAATAATGAACGTTTATAAAGAATCTATATCATTATAGTGTTACAGATAAGATACTGGAATTTTTGATTTTGTATTTAAATAACAGAATATTGTGATACAGATAAGAGATCTTCTTGCGCTTTAAGTATGGGTGTTCCACAAGGATTTATTCCTGGACTATTTCTGTTCCTTATTTCCAAAAACGATTTGCATATTCTTATAAAAAAATTACATCAGAATGGTGGTCTCTGGTGACACTTTACTAATTTCATTTCGTTTTTTTATAATAATTTATTTTTAAAAGGGAAAAGAATCATAAAATGTATAACATCTAATGATAAACATGTAGATAACGGTGTGCTGTTAAATGAGGTAAAGTATTTATACTTGTACACTGTACAGTCTAATAACTGTTTAAGAATTAGTACACACTCTAAATTGCAATAGAACTTTTATATTGATGCTAATAGAAAGCTAATGTCCACAAATATGACTTATTTCATATAAAAAAACTAAAGGTCTTTTTACTTTTTTCGGCAATTCTTCTATTAATTGAACCTTCTTTTCGAAGTGCTGTTAGAGTTTTCGTCAAATAATTCGTGTATTTCTAAAATCATAGGTAAGGAATCAAGATGTCTGTAATTAAAATCTAAAAACAGATCAGATGATATGTGTGGTTTATTCATAGTTTGCTGTTTAAACCGTTTAAAAAGTAAACAAAATATATGAATAATAATAGCCTCAAATAGCTAAATATGTGAGCCACAGTAACAATAATACGCTATGCATAAAACGTTTAGTACTTGATATAGCATAAAAATATTTATTAAATTAACATTGATGGAGTTTGGCAGCTAAATACAAAGAACGGTAAATTCGCCACCCTAACGAACTTGCTCGCCAGCTCACCATGGACCAGTATGTGAGACGACTAAAACGTCATCATATCCTAGAGCTAGAGGACCGACAGTAGCTCTGGGCAGCAGATGCTTCCAATGGGAAGCCGCTCTACATGACAGCATCACAGAACAGATTTGCTCATAGTCTTAGGGCTGATTGCAAATACACACCAAGAAAAAAAATTAACATTAAACAATGTATAAAATTAAAAAGTAAATCAAATATAAGTTGTAATTTTTTCAAATTAGGAAAATATTTTTTTCATTCTATCACATTTCCTAAAAAAGTATAAGTTTAGAAGGTCATTTTTATCTCGTTTAGCGGAGTCTCTTTTATATTCAGCCCTTGCACTATTTTTCTGATGGTCACCGGTTCGAATTTCAGGCAAAGCATTCTTTATACCCTTAGTCATTGCTTTCTATATCATCAATATTTAGGTACAATATTAAAATTTGTCCGATATGTAGAGCTCATTTGTATTCTCATTGTCAGCTTACAAATTATTATTCAATAATTCAAAAGCTATTTATAATATCGTTAAGGCTATAGCTACAATGAACATGCTAAAAATGAATTATTGGCAATCACATTCACGTTTAAAAAATCTATTAAAGATAGCATGACATAATAATCGTAATACATTTCTGGAACTTTTTATTGTAAGAAATATTTTTTACTCAAAATATGTATGTATCAACTTCAAAATAACCTTAAAAGTTATAATAAACAACCCACCGATAAGAAGGTAAAAATTAAAAAGTATAATAATAACAACTAAAATTAAATAAATAATATTCCATATTCAATTATAAAACTTATTAAAATTATAAAAAATAACATTAAAATTAACAAATATTGTAAGGTATGGTTTGGTGCCATTTTCATATTTTCTGAATTAATTTTGTTATTTCGGGGGTAGGCTGTCTGTAACAACTATATGTATAATGCCTTTGAGAAGTTTAAAACCTTAGTCTTTCCCGCAACCATGATTGCTGTTAAGTAAAAAAATCTGAAAAGATAGTTTTATATAAAATGTCCAATATTCGCGTAAATATAAGATAGTATTATTATACCACCCTTAGGAATTATTATTTTCTTGAGATTTATATACAAAAGGCACAGACAGACTTTTGTGATTTCTTTATATTAAAGCGTTTTTTTTCTTTTTTTTTTCAATGGTGTACATAAATCTGCGCTTATAAAAAAAAGTTAAACTTATAAGTTTTTCTTATATAATGATACTTTTTTGAAATTTAAGAGTCTAATTCAATAATTAGATTATTTTGTTTTGAGAATCCTCTTTGAGATATAATCTATTTTATTAAAAAAAATACTCTTCCTTGAGAAAAACACAAAGAGAAAAGAATATAAATTGAACCTTACAAGTATGTATAAAATTATGTTCAAAAACATTTTAAGATAAAAACAGGCTGCAAATTTTAAATTTATTATAGCCGTAGTTAAGAATAAATGTTGATAAATAATTAAATGAGAGGAGTACTGCACCATATATTTCTGGGTTCCAGTATTAATATTATAAAGAGGCAGAGTTTGTTTGTTTGTTTGTTTGTTTGTTTGTTTGAATGCGCTAATCTCAGGAAGTACTAATCCAATTTGAAAAATTCTTTTTGCATTACTTAGGCCATTTATTGAGGAAAACTATAGGCTATATCATCATGCTACTATCCAAGGGAGCGGAGCAATAATCATAAATGTCAACAAATCGAGCAGACTTCCATATATTATTGTAAAATTTATGTTTATAATCAAACTAATTTAAATCAGGTGAAACCGCGGGGCACAGCTAGTTTATACTATAAAAGTAGTATCATTTTAAAGAGCCCATATGAAATGGTCCTTTCTGAAATATTCGCAAATTTTGCTAATATATACTGTCACTGAGTTTCAATAATAGTTTTTAAGTATATATCGATCCCTATCACTTTCCCTATTTTCTCAACAATTTTTGGTTCCCACATTGTAAAAATATATATTATTTACATATTACTTTAATACCTACTTATTTCTCTCATTACTATTTTATACTCTCTCTTATGTTCTTATTTACATTACACACAGATATAAGTATTACAATTTTAATACTGACCACAACTTATTACCGCATAATAATATTTCTTCTGACGCAAATCGTATTACCAAATTATTCTTGGCATTGACTTTAGTTAGCAACCATTGAAGCCATTCTTGTAAAACCGCATGAATGAATTAAGTTTGTTGTTTATTTGTTAAAAACTTAACATAATCAAATTGACTGAATTGTTTCATTAAAGCTTTTAAACTTAAAACTTTATGACAATAACACTTTCTTAGATATACGCTAACATTTAAAAGTTTAAGTAAAGCTGTCTTCTTGGATTTTTTCGCGGATTTATTTTGATTTTTGGTTCCGGACGTTTTGTTTTACAGCAATCATGGTGACGGGAGAGACTGATTGGAGGGAAGTTGAAAAAAATCCGAAAAGATAATGGATAGTAATTATAAAGTTTTTAAGTCGCGAAAGAGTGCGAAATAAAACCTAATATAGCATATTATAAAGAATCAATGATAGCAATGCTGTACAAGTACTTAATTACATAGTCTGAACAAAAATAATAAAATCTAACTAATAAGCTTTTAAATAAAAAAATCCTTTAAGAATTTAAAATTCATAACCAAAAAATATTTCTTCCTAATTAATTAACCGTCTTTCAAACAAAAGTATGCGCGTACGCAAAATTCTAAGGCAAATTATTGCTACGCAACTCGCACACATTTTGTTTTGGCGTAAGGAGGGGAGAGACAAATAAATATGCTATGAACAGGCTAGGGGGCACATTACACGTGCTACCACCGAGAATGAAGTCGTTAGTTTTGTTAGTTTTGGTGGCAGTGGCTTCCGCCAAGCCTGTGGAAGATGATGTGACCGGTTCAGTCATCGGAGTAGTGAGGAGTTGTTCCGAGCAAGACATCACTTTGTGTCTCAAGGTGTGTGGTGTTAAGTGACTGAATAACAGTTTTTCTATTTTATTGCTTAAAAATAACAGTTAAATTAGTTAAGTGCATGATATAATTGAAAGCTCACACGTATTAATGTGAAGTGAAAAAAAAAACTTAATTCGTTTTATTTTGCGTTTTTGCTCTATTTGATATTAAAGATATAAAATAATGGAATATTTCTTATACTTTTATATAATTAATAATTATATAAAAGTAAAAGAAATTTTCTTATACTTTTATATATAATAATTTACTAAACTTACAATTTATTTACAGGAAAAAGCGCTGAAATATGCCGAAAATTTAGCATCAGCACGTGAAATAAATCTTACTGATGGAATTACTTTAGTTGGTACTGGATCTTCTCGTGGTGCCAGGTCCTACGAACCGCTATCAGAGGAGCCTAGGGCAAGAGAAAATGAGGTGGAGACGAGACTGGTGGATGCTGCAGCAGATTTCTTAGAAAACCATGTCATCCAATTGCGTGTACCCAAAAGCACCGTGGATGATGTGAAACGATCTCTTGAGGAAGGTTAGTCAATGAATATTTAATTTAGTCAAATTATTTTCTAGTTATTTTTTTTGTATTTATATATATTTCGCAAAATATTTAGCTCAAATTCAATAAATTATTTTGAGTCTCTCAAAAATCACTAGATATTATAAAACAAAGTCCTCCGCCGCGTCTGTCTGTCTGTTCGCAATAAACTCAAAAAGTACTGCACCGATTTTCATGTTATTTTCACAATTAGATAGAGTGGTTCTCGAGAAAAGTCGAGCTTAGTATTTAATTTGTTAAGTTTTTGTGTACATTGCCTAAAATATAACGATATTTGTTGGAGATGTCGGAAAAAAATAAGCCGCCTGGGAGCTTTATATTGTAGTCTATGTAGTCCACACTAAACGTTATAATGTATCTAGCGAACGAACCCGAGCGAAGCGAGGGTGAGTTGCTATTGTGTAATAAAGGGATGAATTAATTTTAAACTAAGGTTAGGTAAAATTACTGAATAAAATCGCATTTAAATTACTTTGTTAACATGTAGGATAAAATTAAATAATTTTAAATATATTTTTCATTGAAAGTAAAATTCTCTTATACATTTTATAAATCGACTACGCCATGTTAAATGAAACAGGTTGTAAAAACATTACAAAAATTTCTTTTCCATACAAAATGCAAAACCGGTCCTAATTGAACTCCTCCAAGCTTTACGAGGAGTAAAATAATAAATGTTAAATGCAATTATCATTCTCATAACGTTATAAATTTAATTCTAACATACATTGTGTATCATTTTCTTAATCTCTACGCTTTCACACTCAAAGTAGTATGATATATATTATAATTAAATATAAACTTTTTTAATATATATAATTTCTAAAATATTCAATTTGAAAGTTGCGTACTACTTTATACAGGCGAGCTAATTACAAGTACATATATATTATTCATGTTATGTAAACCTAAAGTAGATTTATTATATATATATATATATATATATATATATATATATATATATATATATATATATATATATACATGCGTATGGATGTTTGTCACCCTTTTACAAAAAACTACTGGATGGATTTAAAGAAAAACTTTACAATAATACAGGTCATACATCAGAATAACACATAGGCTATTTTTTATCCCGAAAAAATGTATAGTTCCCGTGGGATATATTTGTTTTTTGCCGAGCCGAGGCCGAGCGAAGCAAGGGTGAGCCGCTAGTATAAATTAGTATAAATGTTATTATATTTCAAAAAAAGTCATTACAATAAAGTGTGTAGCGAAATGATGCAGAGTAATTTGAGTAGACGAACGAAAAGATCAAACGATATCAACGAAATGAGAACATAAACTGGTGATTGTTACATAATAAAATTATTATAATTAATCGTTCTTTGACATGTGAAATTTCATGTAACTAAAATTAAAATTACATTAAATATTTTATATCAATGTTAAATAAATCCTTAACTTTATGAACATACTAAATCTATATATTTAATACTAGCTACTCATTCTCGCTGCGCTCGGGTTCGTCCCTAGATACATTTTTTTTGAGCGGGACCCTAATTCTTTTACTGAAATAAAAGTAGCATACGTTACTCCTTATAACATCAACTACCTGCCGGTGAAAGTCCCGTCAAAATTGGCCCAGCCGACAGACAGACACAAAAAAATATTATTGTGTTATTCTTCTAAATATCGTATATAATCCCATATGCATTTAGTAAAAAGCTGCTATTTTAACATTACAAACAGACACTTCAATTTTATTCATCTATATAGATAAATCTAATAGCAGAAAAAATGTAATAAAAATAATGTAGCAGTACACACTAGTATAATTTGACAATTTAAATTTCACTCAGGAATAAACACGTGAGAAATGGCCTAAAGTTTAATAACAGAGCTGATTATAGTTCAAACATAATAACGCTCTCATAAAATTCACAGGCGAATGAAATAACAGTCCAAAGCGTTACATAAAAGATCACATAGATTCTGCCAATCATTGCGCTTTCGCCGAAACTTAATTAAAATGTTGCTAGGTACTATAAATATAACGAAAATGGAAAGTTCTTTTCATGGGAAACAAACTATAATTATACATTTAAATATACTTAATATGGTGCTATAAAATTAGAAATTACTCGTCCCGATGAAAAACTTGAATTTTGTAAAGGAGCTAGTAAGTTTCTCCGATTAAGAAGGCCGGTGAAAAGCGGGTGTGTAGATTCAAGTTTTTCTAGATATAAGGAATGCCTACAACTAGTTTTAGATTTCCGCTAACAGATACAAAATATCTAAATGTAAGTCTTGCTCCAGGCGGTTTCTTAGTCGAAATATGGAAGTAGGTTCGAGCTTTCGAATTGTATTAAATTGATGCACTTTCTAGATAAATGAGGTGATTACGCAAACAGGATGTAACATGGTGAATTTCAATGACAGTTATACTTGTTGATACTTCAGTGTGGTCTCCATTTGAATACGAATCAGAATTCGGCCAGTTACCTTAGATGTTTATTGATGACTTTAGAAAATTAAATGCTTTCTAGGATGTGTAAATTCTAGTAGCATGTTAACTTAAAGTGAAATAAGTATACATGTACCGTGCTAATGGACCGGATAATGGTCGATACTTAAGCGTGGGTTATAAAATAGCTTTCCGTACTTAAGCTGTTTTCTGCCATTTAACATGAAATATAGTTTTGTAGTGCCTTTTGCTAATAAACAATCATTTGTTTTAGGTCGTGGTAAGAAGAAGAAGCTGAAGCAACTCCTCCCAATCTTCGCTCTCCTTCAATTAAAGATCCAGTCCCTCATCCCCTTGTTCCTGGGTATAATCGCTTTTGCTGCTATCAAGGGTCTGCTCCTGGCCAAGGCAGCTCTTCTTGCATCAGCTCTCCTTCTGTTAAAGAAGCTGTTATCCAAACAAGATCACCATGAAAGCTATGAGGTGGTAGCACACCCTCATCATGATGAACATTATAGCCACGGTGCTGGCCATGGGGGTGGTTGGGGCCGATCCCTAGACGCTCAAAATCTAGCCTACAGCGCTTACTCAGACTAAACCTAAGATTTATCAGTTAGTCTCTCGGACCTCACATTAATTTATTGTTATTTAATAATTTATTTAAATTATTTAAACGATATGTTCTTGCTTGGCTATGATCTTTGCATCACTAGTATTGTATTTAGTACCTGCTCTCTTTATATTGTTATTATTGTTATAGTACAAAGATTATTTTAAGTGTTCAATAGCTTTAATATTTGAGTCACAAATCTTCTACACACTTCATATATGCTTTTGTAAATATACTTCGTATTATAATATTTATGTAACATATTATTTTTTGCATCTTCGTTCGATATTTTATATGTTTATTATTTTATATATAGTGTTTATTATTATTTACTTTGTGACGTTTTTTACATAGATTATCTATCAAGGTGATGCCCTTCTTTTTATATCATTTCTGTTTCCCACCTTACGCATGTCCATTAAACCTTTAATTTATTATAATAAAAAAATCATTTAATTTATTGAATTTTATTCTATCTTTGCTCATAGTCATTTATCATTAACATACATGAATAAAGTTTTTGTTTCTATTAATGTTTTTTTATTATCTTGAGTTTTATTGAATTCTTGGGTTTGTATGACAATTTATAAAGGTAGCGGTACGCGAATATGTAAATTGCGATTATAGCTATTATAAACGAGTAAGTTAATAAAAAATTTAAAAAAGTTAAAAATGTTGGAAAAAAATGTCAAAAATTTAAAAATATTTTTAACATTAGATACAGTTTATCCCGTCACCATGATTGCTGTAAAGCATTCGAAACACTGGGAACTAAAAACCAAAATACATCCACGAAAAAAAAATCCTAAAAGATAATTCTATTTAAAATATTCTAACATGTCTATTTCTACGGAACTAACTACGCTTCCGTTACGCCTTAGATATGTAGGGCGTAAAACTAACATTGTTTGAATGCAAAATGTACCGACCCATCAAGTGGATTGATTCACACACGATAAATTACTTACACTTTATGTACGACATTACGAGATGTAAATTATGTAGGTTTTAAGGTAAACAGCTAAATAAGAAGATATGGTACTTGCTAGAATTATTTCAGTTTTTTTCCTATTTCTTTTTAAATAGCCCACATGGCACCAAAATCATCATTATTGACAAATATTTATGTTATAACTGGCGACTCACTCTCACTTCGCTCGGGTTTTAACGGTTAGTATGGGTATAGAAAAGTAGTAAGTATTTAAAAAAAAATATATATCCCTTATTTGAGAAATTATTGATTGCTCATTTAAACTTCCACCCGATTTTTCACCTCATTAAGGAATGAATTCCGGGATAAAAACTATCCTATGTCCTTCCCAGGGTCTCAGACTATCTCCACACCAAATTTAATCTAAATCGGTTCAGCGGATTAAGCGTGAAAAGATAACAGATTGCCAGAGTTACTTTCACATTTATAATATTAGTATAGATGACAATGATGAAAATAAGGTACTCCATATCACACGGAGAGAGTTTATCGCACGATTTGGGACAAGAAATCGTACGACAATATCGCATGTACGACATAATCACCACACGATAATCGTATTTTAAATTTTCACGCAAGCAACAATTAAAATCTCGTGTATTAATATATCAATTGTAACATACATAAGGAACTTATTTCGTACTCAAATTATTTACATTGAAAAATATCGCATTTCTTTTTTTTAAATCACTATTATAATAATTTCATCAAGATATTCGCATCTCATAAACAAAAGTTTGTTTAAGAATTTTATTTTATTAAGTTATAGAAGACTATAATCCACTACCAGTAAACGCGTAATTTTTTTTGTTTAAAATTTAAAATATTCTAATAAATAGATTAAATATTAAAAAAGAATTTTCCTCCGCCATTACTGTAATTTATTTTTCATGTTTTTTTTTTACAGTAAATTTGTATTCACAGACAGACATTCCTGGTTTTTATATGATTACAAATTTCTATTAGAATTTGCGTAGAGATTTTGAACTTACGACTGTACTTTATGCCATTTACTCTCATACCCCAATTCGACACTCGCAGTGAGAGATCAAACGCAGGAGCCAGGACAGACGACTTTACGTGATCTCCAAGCCACGGGGATGAAACATTGCCAATTACAGAGTGTGATTACTGAATACTTTCTTAGATTTACGGGAATATTTAAATAAAACTATCTTTTCGGATTTTTTTTGCGGATTTATTTTGATTTTTGGTTCCCGACGTTTTGAATGCTTACAGCAATCATGGTCACGGGAGAGAATAATTAAAATTAAAAAAACTCTGATTACTGTTATAATAGTCAGAAATAGTCAAAAAGTTTTTTCCCATTTTTTTTTTTTTAGCTTTTAAGCGTTAGTAGAAGGTTAAAGCCCGCATATAATAATACTCAGTATTATTTGTAGTAAAAAAAACTAGACGTCTAGTTTTATTTCAATTTTATTAAATAAATAAAATTACTACCATTAACATGATGATAGTATTAGAATCACATTACTTACAAAGAAAGAAAAGTATGTAAGTAGTTGAGACATAGCCTAAGTCTTTCCACTTTTGTTTCTGCATACTGAAATGACTGTATGGATTTAGGGGCTTAGTAAACATATAGACTTTGACCTGGAATTTAACAAAGACTACTACTCTTTAAATAAAAACGAATCGCTAAATGTGTTGCTAATCGCAAAACTCGATGACAGCTGGACCAATTCGGCTAATTCTTTTTTCTAAATATTCGTTGAAGTCCAAGAAAAATTCTTATGAAGAGAAAAAATGGAATAAATTTTGCGGAAAAACGTCAAAACGTTTTCTAATCGGGCCTGCTACACACTTGACTTGACAGAACAAGGTCTGTCAGGTCAGCTAGTATAAAATCAGTAATGAAATTTGCCAAGAAGCATCCTTGTATTTTTGCCAAAAGACATACTTATTCATTACCTGTAATTTTATAAATGCAAAGGCAACTTATAACTTTATCACATGATCAAAGTTTTATTAAAATTAGCTGAACAGTACGTCAACGTTTATTTTACAAACAGATGGACAAACATAAGAAATTTTATTTATTAAACTAGGTTTATCCTGGTCTCTGCTCGCGTTAGTTTTTATCTAATGACGTTACATCAACGTATGTTAGATTGCTTGCTATAGTTTTAAATTATAATTTCAAATATTGTTACTAATACACGTTAAAAAAACGGACAAGCAAACCGTTCAGGTTTATAATATTAATATATACAAAAAAAAAGAATATCAGTTGAGAAATATATGAGAAAAGGTGCTGAAGTATTTTTTTATTTAGGTACCTATTAATATATATAGACTAGCGACTCACCCTCGCTCCGCTCGGGTTTGTGCCTAGTTACTCTTAACGTTTAGTGTAGATTTCTAAGAGATAATATACTATCCTACAGTAAAAAGTATCCTAAAATATGTTGATCCGAATAACCAGCTATCATCATACCAAATTTCATCAGAATCCTTCCAGTGGGTTTCTCGTGATTCGTTTCCAAACACACATACTGACAGAGAGACAGAAAAAAATCTAAAATCTATAGATTCGGCCTCTGTATCGATAATAATTACTAATTTAATAAGATTTTCCAAAAATATTTAATGTACAAATAAGACTCAGAATGTTTTTGTATGTATAGATTATTCTTTCTGTTGGTAGTGATAAAGCTTAGTTAGGTTGTGTCTTGAATCTATTAAGTGATCCACTTAACCTCGAAACAATAGCCGTGTCTTAATAAAACACTTCACACACGTTTGTCAAAACTTATGCACAATATGGGAAAATCTTTGATTAGCATTAGAATTTTCATTGTTTGGTGCAGAGAAAACGGAAAGGGTTAAAAATAGCACGTGGGTTTAAACTTATATAGCAATTTTGTTATAGATTCGAATTTTTAATTTATGATATGAGGTTTAATTAATGAATATATACTTATTTTTATCAGTTCTACTCTTTGTAAATACAAAAAAAATCTTTGGATTTTTTCGTGATTTTGCAAACATGTTCACGGGAGGGAGTCTCCGGTCGTAATATGTCTGTGTTAAACATTCGAAAATCAACATGAAATTATTTAAAATATCAAATATTTGTGTTAATTTAAAAAAAGTTCCTAGTTCCCTGAATTTAATGTATGCCAGTCGACATATTATGTAGTTTACTTTGTCATAATCGAGTCGCATGGCAAAGAAGCGGGTGAGACTAATCTCAACCGCATCTTCTTCATGCGACACTCTCTTCTCTCTCTCTCCCTCTCTGTTCTTTTTACCGTTTAACAGCTAACTATTAACCGGTAAAAAATATTTAAAATATGAAATATTTCTTGCTAATCAATATATTTTAAAATAATTTAGGAACAAATCAGTAATGTTACATTAGCTAAAATTTCTATTTACGTATAATTTACTAAGAAGCTAGTGAAATTCATTTGTTAACTAACGCTTATCTCTATTAATGTTGTTGATTTTGATGGATATGATAAAGTATTAGTTACACACATTAAATTCTATGCAGTATTCTATAAGGCATATACATAGATACATATATAGCACTAGCAGTACCCACGGCTTCGCCCGCGTTCAAACTACTACAAAAACCTCTTTAACACACCGCTAGCAGCGCCACCTACTGTGTCCAATTGTTTTATCAAACCATCCAGGGGCCCACTGAAATATACACACAAAATTTCATGCAAATCGGTCCAGCCCCTTAGGAGGAATAAGGTGACAAACACACGTACAGAAGAATTATATAGTAGGTATATTAAGATATATAAAATGTAAATCATTGAATGGTTCACTAGCTGGCATGTTAGGCTTTCTATTTTGAGTTTTGAGTTAGACCAAAAATTAAAAGTACGTAGTAAGTAAAGAAACTTAGGTACGGCATTTACATAATCCTCAGTAACAGCCCGAAATTTTTAACAGAAAAACTCAATAATTATATTTTTCCAGCCTAAGAATCAAACCTACGACATCCGAGTCTGCTGTAGATGCTAGATACTAGACTTACGAAGCAGTTTCTATTATTACATACTGATATTATGAACTAGGCGAGATAAATATGTATAGTTATTTTTATAACGCCATCTGTAAGTGTACTTGAGAACTACACTCGCGGTCATTTCTACTACGACTTGAATGAATACGTATAGTTCAAGGTTTTGCCGTGAGAATGTTCCGTTCGATGAACTTTACAACTTGTTTATTTATAAAGTAAGGAAATAATACCAGTTTATTATTAGATGGAAGTTACTTCGGACATAATGCTTTAATTTTGATAATATTTCATGAATCATTTATATCTTATGCTAACGTACTAGATAGATTGATATGGTATTTCTTAATTATTTTTATATAGGTATTTACTATATATTTTTCAAGAAATATATATTTTTTAATTAAGATTTGTCCAATTTCTTTCTTTAAATACTTACATATTTAAAAATAATTTGTTAATAATATTAAAAAAGCAAAATTACCTTATTATATTAACAAAAGCAAAATGAAATTTTGTTTAAACGAACAATAAAACAGACAAAATAAACTAATTAATAAACTCAACAATTTAAAATAGATTGTAAATAAAAAACTATAACGTAAAATATTTTTCATACAGCGCCATCTCTGAGATTTACATTGAACTATAATCTCGATAATTTCTATTTTTAATAATTATCAATGAATACAAAGTATTTGTAAAAATAGATTAATATGTAAAATAATTCTTAATATTCGTAGTTTTATTATTTTTAAATTAAAAAATAATTATTCATATTGTATAATGATTTTTATATTCTTTAGTTTTCAAATAACATCCTGCTATCGCCATCTCTTGGTAATATCCTAAATAATGTGAAAACGTTAAGTTCAAGGTTTTACCACAGCTGACTGAGGAATTCTTACTGTGAGAATAATTCAATCTCGGAAACTTCTTTCTTTTATATTATATTAAGTTATTAACTATACATAAAACTAATATTTATATATTATGTAACATTATTTATTACATCGCAAGCTATACATTAACATTTTAGTTAAAAATGATCATGCTGTAAAATAACTCTAGTTTTAAGTAGAGGCTCTGAAGTCCGGAGTTATGTCTTATTGTCTACCTAAATTTAATATATTATTAAAAAGATAAATTTCATTGTACACCTTTTGTCCAAAGTTTTTGAGTAGTTTACAATACTAAATATACTTTGAGGTATATTAGGTTTTTAACACAATGGATACAACGCCATCTATTATCAATATATAAAACTACGACAAAATGTCCATCTAAATAGATTATAAGAATCTTTTTGGATTTTTTCGCGGATTCATTTTGATTTTTGGTTTCCGACGTTTCGAATGCTTTACAGCAATGATGGTCACGGGAGAGACTAAGGTTTTAAATGTCTCAAAGGCGTTCGTTATATACTTGTTACAGACAGTGCCTACTCACTATTTTACAAAAATGATTTCAAAAATTCAAAAATGACACCAAAGTACCTTACAATATTTGTTGATTTTAATTCTAAACATTTTAAAATACGGAAAGATATTTAAAAAAAGTCCGTTTTACTTAAAATATCAAATTCGTGTAAATCTTTGAAAGTATTATTGTTCGTATGTGTGTTTGTGTTGTGTAGTTATATGTGTATGTTTGTTATTCCTTCACGCATGGATCATAAAGAATTTAGATTTGGACGATGTAGTGTACAGATAAACCAAGAATATTTATGATCAGAATTACTTGAAACTTAGTATTAATGCTTTTCAATAAAATTAAATAAATACATGTTTTAGCATTTTTTGAAATTCGTCCTATAAGGGGGTAAAATAGGAGATGAAAGTTTGAATGAAACTACCTTATAAGGGATTTTTTGTAGTTTTAGCGCTAGCGTAGCCGCGGGTTCTGCTAGTAATACTGTAAATACGAAAGACATCTAAAGGCATCTAAGTTTTAGTAAAAATGAATCATTAAATTACCTAATGTAACAAATATACATACAAAAATAATATTTAAGTCCCATAAAACTTTTTCGTTTAAAATCCATCATTGTTCACGGCCAAGGTTACAAGTTGTTTTATTCCTTTAGTTCTATTACAAGCTCGAGAGATAGCTTCTTTTTATTTTACTTCTCGGTTACTGAACTCGTTAGTTTTGCTTTGCTTGGATTTTTTTGCTGAAATTATGTATTGTTATTGTTTGCTGACACAGTTGAGTTAGTGAGTTATGTAACCTATGGTATATTATGACGATTACTCAGTAACTTACTATATATCATCTTTTTTTGTTTAGTATCAATAAAATAATTATTATGATTGCTTTTTACTAATTTATACATATAACAATATTCTGAGTTGAATCTGTACATTAAATATTTTTTTGAAATTCTGAAAAATATATTATAATATATTGTCATTACTATCGATACAGAGGCCGAGTCTATAGTTTTTAGATTTTTTGTTTATCAGTCTATCTTTCTAGGAACGCATCACGAGAAAACCAATGCACAGATTTTAATGAAATTTGGTATGATGATAGCTGGGTATCCGGGTCAATACATATGATACTTTTTAATGCGTGACAATATCTAATCTCTGAAAAATCTAAACACACATTTAAAACGTACCTCGGGGTGAATCCCTAATCATTTTATAAAAAGCCGAGAAATGCACACTGATACATCATAATATACCCACATATAGCATTAAATTCTGGGACACCATTAAATAAGTTGCATTTCGCATTCAAAAGCTATACAACCTGTAATATCTCAAGATGCTCAATGATCTGCACATACTTACTTGTTTAAGCGTTTCTCCACTGGCCCATACCATATAAAGATTAACTGCATCCGCACTTTACCGACCTCGTTTTACTATGATTCATCTTATAGTTTAGAATATAAAACTTGCTACTTGTCGTCGTGTTGCTTTTGCTTGTAGTTGTCTTTTGTGTCTATAATATGCAGGTGGTGACACCTTTTGGCTAATTTTATTACTAACAGCAGCCATAGCCAATAATATGTGGGTAGTGAATTTCATCAAAATCCGTTCAGCTCCATTCATATTAAATACTAATAGGAACGTTTTAACGGTTAGTATAGATTTTTCAGAGATGAAATATTTTCTAGAGATGCGTTTCCGAATAGACAGACAAATATTCTAAAAAAATGTATAGAGTCTCTGTATCGATAATAATGACTATTTCTATGAAATTTTCAAAGAAATATTTAATATACAGATTCGACTCGGAATTCTATAATATTTATAGATATATTTATTATTATTATTTACTAGCGACTCACCCTCGCTTCACTCGCGTTCGTCCCTAGCTTGCTTCTCCATACAAACATTCATCCCCATTCTCACCCCCTTAAGGGAGGATTTCGGGGATAAAAACTATTTCAGTCACTCACTTTTCATATCATAACATTTAGAAAAAACTTATTTTGGTAAAAAAAAATCTTTTAATTTTCTTCTATACACAACTTTTCCTGACAATAACAAACACAAAAAAAAGAATTATCCAATTTGGTGCAGTCGATCGGAAGTTATGTGCGTACATACATTTCGGTGATTCATTTTTATTTATATACATAGATTTTGAAAGGAATACACGCGTTTTATTTCTTTTCACGTTTATTTTCGTCAGCAAGGTTAAGTAGCGTCTAGAAGTTCATGTGAATTTTTTGTGTTTTGTCTTTATGGAAATAGTGTATAACGATTATTTTTTATTTTAAATCTTGCTAGTTGTATTTATTTAGCTACTGTCACACAACTCAACACTGTACTAATACAATTGCATAAAAAAGATTAAAAATATTCATCTTAGTATAAAAATAACGTAAATACTGCTCTTGTTCTTGAAATCTCGTATTTTATTTGAAGTTACTTCAAAATTTGATTGCTCGTATAAACAATTAAGTCGATTAAACAACCCTGTGATCTCGCAATCTTTGTTATTCTTTCATCGAACAGACAGGCAACGTAATTTTCTCCTTTATAAATCAATATGGAGTACGGAACATAATTCTTCTCCTTTATCTTTTTTCTTTGTCTTTTTTTCCACATGAAATGTAAATTTTATTTTGTTTTTTAATATTTTTTATGTAACTTTAAATGCACAGACTCGTACTGTAATATGAACTTTCTGGTTAAGTTTGTTTATTAAGTATATGTTTTTATTTGAATGTTGTGTACAGATATAATTGAACAACAAATTTAAAATGATATTTTTAGTTTTTTTTTAATTTGTTTTCTGTTTACAGAAACAGAACAAAAAGTACCTGTTAATTATTTTATTTTATTTATGTAGGATAGAGACCCTACATAAATAAAATAAAATAATTAACAGGTACTTTGTTAATTATGATGATGTCTTCCTAACCACGATTATGGCTACGGCGGCCAATCTCACTGAGACTAGACAACTGCGCAGGAGATATTATAGTGCACAAGTGTACGCGCAGACACAGGTGCACTCTCTATTCGTGTCACTCTCATACTCCGATGGGGCAACAATTCATCACGACCAGCGAGACATCAGGCCCAGGACCGAAGGCTTAACCTGCTCTCCGAGACACGGGGGTGAAACACCGCCAACTTCCCAACTCCAGGCTGCTATTGAAATGTTTAAAACAGAAAAATCAATAACTAAACTTGCTTCGACTCGGAATTCGAACCAAAGACCACCAGATAATATGCAGCCGTCATGATAGCCACTAGAACACGAAGGCTTTTTTTAAAAGTATAATAATAGCCATAGCTAGAAAGCCACCATGGTCAATGGTCTCAAGTTCGAGCCTCAATTATATTTTTCGTGTATGCAATATTTTTGCTTTTTATAAATCGACTTTTAAGATTCGTTTAATACTAATAGAGAATGTACCTCAAGACTCAAGATCGTATCTTATAATATAAAAAAAAATCAAGGGTGGAATATTTTAAGGTGGTTTTCAAATTAAAAAGTAAATATTTTAATTGCCTAGTTGGTTTAGTAGCTAGCATGTACGGCTGTAGATTTGGAGATCCTGGGTTCGATTCCTGGGTCGAAGAATAGTTATTGTATCGTCGTAGAAAATTTTCAATAATAACCAACTAGGTGAGTAGTTAGTGATGTTACATATTATATCTCAGAAAACACGACATGCTCGGAAATCGGTCAGGAGATCACTATTATTTTCCGGTGTATTTAAGGCAAAGACCGTCGTTGGGTACCAACTGACGCTTAACAAAACTAATGAAATACGGGAAATGCTCTATCTTTGACTGCTCGGCAAGTAAAAGAACTTACACAAATATTAAAAAGAGGCAGAGTTTGTTTGTTTGTTTGAACGCGCTAATCTCAGAAACTACTAATCCGAATTGAAAAATTTTTTTTACATTAGATAGCCCGTTTATTGAGGAAGGCTATAGGCCTATTATCATGTTACTAGAGAAGGGAGCGGAGCAGTAATAGTATATATAATCTATCAATTCCATAGTAACCGTTAAAACGTAGGTACTTTGGGACGACTGAGCCGCTAGTATGAAAATAAATATATTATAATATCTATTTTATATAATTTACAATTTTATTTTACACTTTGTATGTAGAGTACTATCTTTAGACATTCTGAAACTGTTCTAAAAATTATTTAATTAATAGAAAGCTAGACTCCGAGTCCGTGTTTTAGGTTATCTACGTACCTACATACCATATCTAACTCTGATTTCGGTGAACATTTTACAAAAAACGTTGCACACTGCAGTTAATTGAAAAGTTTGCTAAATAAATTAATCCAATTAAGATTAATCTGTATACTAAAGCAGGTACTTTTACTTGTTAATTTTACTATAATCGCAAAAATCTTTACGCCTCAAATATCGTAAGCGTGAATATCTCTCATTTAACCTAAAATTGTATACAATTCCAACTTTATTGTCAGAGCCGTATGAAATGAACGATATTTGAGCATCTATCGTCTTTATTGTAACTAGAACAAGGTTTAATTTCGCGTGCATTAATAAAAGGCTCTATAAATGCAAAAGGTTTTTTTTAATTTGAACTCTATATATAGAGTAGGAATGTAAAAAATCGTTCGTACAAACATAGACAAAGATGGTAATGTCCGCTTTTCCCATAGCTTTTACCGGATAACCTTTAATCATTTATCGTACGTACATTTTCTATGTCGGAATAAAAAGAAAACTTGCATATAGGATGAGTGTTGACTTTAATTACCCATGATTCGTGACAAACAAACACACGTATATACGGTACGTGTTGAATATTTTTAACAGAAGATTTGCTTAAGTAAAGATTTATCATTGAGGTAAAGTTAATGAAATAAACCTAATAATTCTTAATATGTAGTGTTTGAAGCTGAAAAAAGCTTGCAAATCTGAGTGTTCGTACATATTGAGAATTGTTTTTTATTCAATTAAATATAAATTTCGAAATATATGTTTAGTAAGTCGAATTCATCACTTATATACATGTATATTTTATATTTATGTGATGTATATTGTAAAGCAGCAAAAATATTGTACTTCCGTACGTTTGTACTACTGTCTTATTACTCAGGTGAAAAAAACTCATAATATTTTTTTATTATTTAATCTTCAAAATTATCTCTTTCTTTTCAAAAAATAATATAAAGCAATCAAGATTCATGAAACTAAACAAATAGTGCACAATAGAAACATTGTTGAATATATAACGTACCAAGAATATAATAAAAGTAGTATCAAAGGGTAAAAAAAAAACAAAAAATAAAGACACTTAAAATATACTTAAATAAATTAATTAAAGCCAGGTACATGGAGAACCATACATATCTATCTTAGCAGCGATTCTTTGATAAATATAATAGATACTAAAAAATATAGTTACTAAACACCTATAAGGTTTACAAACAACGATCATAACATTCATTCTTACACATCACACACAAGAATAAATACGGTGAAATCGTCTTATAAAGAGGTCGCTTATCTAGGTTAATAGGACTATTGCTTTTGCGCGGCGTAAGCTAGGTTCTGAGCGTCGAGAGATCGTCCCCAGCCTCCTCCGCTGTGTCCTCCACCACTGCTATAGCCTCCGCCTGAGTCTCCTCCATATCCACTTGCGCCAGCGTAATCATGGCTGGAAGTATGACTGGACGTATGATGGGGATGGGCTACCACCTCATAAGTTACGTGCTTCTGCTGTGAGAGCAACTTCTTCAAACCGATTATAGCTGACAGAACTAACGCTAGTTTTCCAATCAATAATGCCTTTCCAGCAATCAGAGCGATCGCACCGATAGCTAAAGGCATCAACATTGCCATTTTTAAAACAACAGCACCTATCAATGGTCCCATAATTTTGGAGGCCTTCTTCTTTTTTCCTCTACCTTCTTCTTCTTCTGATAAATCACTGTCTTCTGTGAATGATGATACTGTGTCTTCTAAGGCACGACCCACACTAGATACAGTGTCGATGACATCAGAACCCTTAACTTCCACTCTAAGGGAGTGGGTTTCGAAATAATTCTTCATTTTAGAAACAGGATCCAAGGCTCTAGGTGCGCCAGTTTCCGGTGGTAGATCGCTCGCCCGAACTACAGTCACTCCGTCTGTTAGAGCAAAGCTTTCCTTTTGTCCAATCATTTTGTCGACGAAGGAGAAGAACTTGTACTTTAGACATGATGTGGAATCTTTTTTGAGGCAGTCACTGACACCGTCTATGTCATTTTCTGAATGGCTTGTATCTTGGGCGGGAAGAGCGAAGCACGACGCTACGAGAGCGATGAAAGCGACCGTCTTTAACATTGTAGCGTTAGAAATAGACTGTGCGCCGGCGCAGTGAAGCTTACTTTAAATACCACTCCGCACCCCTCACTTGATGGAAAAAATCGAAATAACTTGGACTTTCTCAGTCTGGGAGTAAAAGTGAAGTTCCAGGTTTCATAATGTGGCGCGAAAGCCTATACTCAGTGCCAGGGTCATGAACTTATAACTAATTATTTATGTAACAGCTAAAATATAAGCGTTTAAAATACCGCAGTCTAAAATATCTTAGTTTGAAAAAGAAAATAAGGTACAAAACCTTTAAAACTCACGATATTTATTTTACAGTATTTTTTTTGCATATTATGTAATATTAATAATTTTAAATTTTATGCTAAAAAATTGACAACTCGCTAAGAAAAAAACAATCGCTAAGTCGAGAAGGGTGAAAGGAGTCCAGTTTTAAGCTATTTGTTTATCCATATTTTAACACTAACGTCTCACCCTCGTTCCGTTCGGGTTCGTCCCTACTTATGTAATCTATACTAAATGTTAAGACACATTTAATATAGATTTCTCAAAGGTGAGATATTTTCCCGCAGTAAAATTTCATCAATAACTGATTAGTGGTTTTATCCTGATGCGGTTACAGATAGACAGACAAAAAATGTAAAAACTATAGATTCGGCCTCTGTATCGATAATAATGACTATTTCAATAAGATTTTCCAAAAAATATTTAATATACACATTCGACTCAGTTAGAATTTGATTATATGTATGGATTATATTTTATTGTCTGTTTTTCTGTTACGTTTTCACGCCTAAACCGAACTAGGTGAAGAATAAACCAATCTTGATGAAATTGGGTATGGAGAGGGATGGGACCTTGGAGAAGAATCCTATAATTTTGTTGAGAAAAAAAACTACAAAAAAAACCCTGTGGCTTTATGATATTAGTAATAAGTAATAACGTATAACGGAAATCTGCCCGATTTCTTGACACTTATGACTACTGCTCCGCTTCTTTAAGTAGTAGCATAATGATTCCCGCAATAAACGGGCTATCTAATTTAAAAAAAAAACATTTAAATCGGATTAGTAGTTCCTGAGATTAGCATGTTCAAACAAACCAATACACAAACAAACAAAAAAACTCTGCCAGTTTATAATATTTCTGGAGTTATTTATTCTATAATAACGTACCAACATATGTATATAGTACTAGAATTATTACATAAGAAATTTTGTCTACGTAGATCATTAGTAGTTAGAAACAAGCTGAAAATAAGTGTTAAACAAATTCACTTCTTAACAGGTGCTAAATGCTCACAAAATTGTATCGATGTTTGCATATTATGATAATATATTCTAATTATATTTTTATGGCTTTAAAAGTAAGAAAAATAATGAAATTATTAATAAAAACGAGCTCATCTGTTAAACTGAAGGTCGTGAGTTTGATATTCAATAAAAATGTTTGTATGTAGAGTATATCTGTAACTACTATATCGATTTTAGAATTTCTTTTATTTAAAGCTGGTTATTTTTAAATTGATAAATAGGTATAATTGACGACACGTTTGGCTCAGTTTGTAGTGACCCTACTTGCTGTGTCAGCGGTCGCGGGTTCGAATCCCGCTGGGGGCATTTATTTGTGTGTTGAGCATGAATGTTTGTACTCCAGTCATGGGTGTTAATATTTATAATATGTATGTATTTAAATTTATATATGTGTAGTGTATCAACTGACGGTATCCATAACACAAGCCTCGTAGCTTACCATGGAACTTGATGGTGCTGAGTGTTAATGTCCCAACATGTATTAAATATTTATATAGGTTTGCCGGCAGCAGCCTCTGTATTATATATAATAACTTTTAAGACGTCTCCTTAGTCTCGTAACCGTGTTTGCTGTAAAGCATTCGAAACTTTGGGAACCAAACATTAGAATAAATCCACGAAAAAATCCGAAAAGATAGTTTTATTTAAAACTAGCGACTCACCTTCGCTCCGCTTGGGCTCGTCCCTAGTTACATTTTACCGTTTAGTATAATTTTCTCAGAGATGAGATATTTTCCCGCAGTAAAAAGTACCCTATATGTTGACTCAGATAACCAGCTATCATCATACCAAATTTCATCAAAATCCCTCCAGTGCCTTTTTCGTGATTCGGTCACAAATAGACAGACAAAAATTCTGAAAACTATAGATTCAGCCTCTGTGTCGATAATAATGACTATTTCAATAAGATTTTCCAAAAAAAAATTAATGTACAGATTCGGCTTGGTTAAAATTTTATTATATGTATAGATATCAAATATTTGCGTAAATCTAAGAAAGTATTTCTAGGTATAATTACAACTAATCCAAAACAAATACTTATGCTAAATATTTTAAATACTTAATAATTGTTATTCAAATGAAAAAAAAATATATGTTATTAAATTATATTTCAAAGCTATTATTCTACTTGCCATATATAAAAACTTCGTGTTTTACAAAACAAATCTTAGTATTACAGTAAATGGTAGTGTAAAAATTCTTTTTATGATAATTCTCTTATATTATGATATTGTAACAAGCACTTTTTAAATTTAAACCAAATAATTGTGATGCGTGAATTCAACTTCTTTAGCCGAGAAAGCGTAAAAGTATTTTGGCTAAACTAAAACAAAAGTAAGAGTAACCCCTCGTTTAGTCACGCATCCGGAAATGTCCGTTAGGCAAATTCACACGATCTAAGTTTAGTACTTAAAAAAAAGCTTGTAAAATTTATCAACTATTGTTTTTAATTAATGAAATAAATTCTTATTTAATTATATCATTCTAGAATCTATACATATAATAAAATTTTAACTGATTGCTGTACATGAAAGATATTTGAGAAAAACTATTATTGGGGATCTTTATTGACGCAATAGAACCCAAAACAATGATTTTTAGAATTTTTGTGTGTTTGTCTGTGCGTTTGTGCGCGCTAATCTCAAAAACGGGTAAGCCGACTTGAGGGCGGTCTTCACCAATGTAATGTGGTACGTTTCACTTAATATTTAGTATTTGTTTTATTTCAATCGGTTCATAAATAAAAAAGTGATGTCAATTGAAAGAATCATCCAGAGATGAACTCGGGTTCATCCCTGGCGAAGCGGAGGTGAGTCGCTAGTTGAAATATGTTTTAATATCATAACAGTTCAATAAGCTTTTTAATCCCCGATGCAAACGAAGGGTGTTATAAGTTTAACGTGTGTATCTGTTTGTGACACCGTAGCTCCAAAACGGAGGAACCGAATTTAATATAGTTTTTTTTTATGCTTAATAGGTGATTTAATCGAAACTGTTCTTAATTATAAATCAAGAAAAAAAGCGGTTTGCAAAAAGGTTTGGTTTGTAAAAGGATATGAGCAGCATCCACAGATCTAATCCATTCGAAACTTGGTATCCCGATACTTTATTGACATGGCAACGATATGGTAACCTTGGCCTGATACTGCAGCGTCACATGGAATCTGTAAGACATTCAACTCTACACAAAAATACTCAAGAAATATAGGGATTAGGCTTACTGAAATGGCCATGGTATTTGTAGGTAACTATCGTTTATGCAACTTTTATTCCGCACACGTTTGCGTCTCCTTTGATTCATATGTCAATTGATTTAATAGATTCTTATCACGGCAATGGGGTCAATGGCTTATGTTGGTAAGGCTTTCCATTGAACTTAGAAGTTTTTTGTATGGGAATTTCTTTGTGTAGCCCTATGGTGTATTTATGCATTACGTGTACAGAGATTTATAGCTTTTGTTCTACATTTAACTACTCATTTGGTTTCATTTCACTAGAAAACATGAAAAATAATCATTTCATCATCATCAATAACTAAAATAAATTAAAAGAAATATGACCGTATTTTGGAATATAAAAGGAATCGTGAGGCTAAAAAGTTAAAAAAATAGCCGTTAAACAAACACTAGGTATGTATTATGTGTAATAACATCCACTTTTTAAAAAATATTAAAATACTACTCGTGTATATACCTACACTTCGCTTCGCTCGAGTTCGCTTCTTGAAAATCAAATTCAAATCTATTCCACGGGAACCGTATATTTTTCCGGTATAAAAAGTAGCCTATGTGTTGTTCTGATGTATGAGCTATATTATTGTAAAGATTTAATAAAATCCATAGTGTAGTTTTGCTTGAAGGAGTAACAAACATTCATTTATCTATACATCCTCACAAACTTTCGAATATATAATATTAGTATAGAGTATAGACTAGAATAGATGTAGGCCTATAGGGTATTTAGGGCAGGTATGACCTATCATAAGCGGAAGATCATTTTATTGCGGTCATCAACCCTCCTGTCATTGAACGAGTCCTTCCATTTTAATATTATAAAGAAATTTATGTAAAGCTTTATATATATATTTTAATTTAATTTATTTAATACACTAACAATTTACATATATATGTATACCAATATATATATATATATATATATATATATAAAAAATTTAACTGAGTCGATTCTGTACATTAATTTTTTTGGAAACCTTATTGAAATAGTCATTATTGTCGATACAGAGGCTGAATCTATAGTTTTAATTATTTTTTCTGTCTGTCTGGGAACGTATCACGAGAAAACCACTGGGCAGATTTTGATGAAATTTGGTATGATGATAGCTGGTTATCCGGGTCGACATATAGGAAACATTTTACTATGGGAAAATATCTAATCTGTGAGAAATCTATACTAACCGTCAAAACGTACATAGGGACGAACCCGAGCGGAGCAAGCGTGAATCACTAGTTACATAATAATCTTAATAAATACGTCTTATCTTCACGAACAACTCTTCAAGAATACATAGGTATAGATATATAGGTACATAGCAGTGTATATAACGTTAATATAAAAACGTTTTATGTACATATATAAATAATTCTCCTCTTTGCATATGAGTAGATACTTTAATAATGACGATAACCTAGTCCTATTGATCCAGATTTCTATGATATTACCCTACATTCTATCGATGGG